CGAACATGGCCAAACTCCGTGCTCGTCCATGGCATCAGAGCGAGCTTCTCGGCCCATATCGTTTCTTCGATGTGCAGGGCCTCCATCAAAATACAACGAAGGGTCACTCTCTGATCAACTTGGCGGAGTTGCGGGTGGCTATGCAACTCTACGAACGACTTATCACAGATTTCCGAGATTATGACTTCAGTGGGAAAATAGGTATCATTACTCCGTACAAGGGTCAGTTGAGGGAGTTGAAGACACAGTTTGCCGCAAGGTACGGAAACGCCATCTTCAGCATGGTCGACTTCAATACAACGGATGCCTTTCAAGGTCGGGAGAGTGAAGTTATCATTTTCTCTTGTGTCAGAGCATCCAACAAAGGAATTGGTTTCTTGGCAGACATTCGCCGTATGAACGTCGGTCTGACGCGTGCCAAATCATCCCTATGGGTTCTTGGTAATTCGCAGTCTTTGGTGCAAGGCGAATTCTGGAATGGTTTGATTAAGGATGCGCGTCGAAGAAATGTCTATACCGACGGTGACATTCTAGACATTCTTCAGCGGCCACAGTTTACGGGCTACAAGGACGTCGATATGATGGACGCCGAGTCTCAAAATCCTACAGTCTCACTCAAGGCCGCTGGTGCCGAACCTGCCTCGAGACCGTCCTCAGCTTCCCTTGAGCGGCCAACTTCAGAGTCCTCCATCTCTGCATCAGTCTCTAGGAGGGGCACTCCCATTGAACCCCCGCCAGACCTGCCGTCAGGCGGTCCCAACGGTTTGGATGATACCCGAACATGCGGTTACTGTGGCAGCTTCGCTCATATGACGCACAATTGTGACAACATCGATGCAAAGGAGGCATCGCGCGGCACCTGCTACAGATGTGGGCGCTCAGGGCATACGCGCATGGTTTGTACGGCAGAACGCTGTTTGCAATGTGGTGAGTTCGGACATGATGCACGGGGCTGTCAATCTGCGAGGGAGCTGCCAAAGAAAGAGAAAATTCGCATTGCACGAGAAGAGCAGCACCTTGCTCAGATGAAAAAACAAAGGACCGAGCGTCAACGCGAGAAACAGCTTGGAGGACATGATCCCAAAGTCCCGGTTATACAGGTCTCTTCCGATCCGCCGCCGCGCGAGGATAAGAAGCCCGAGAAACGTAAGCCCGACCAGAGCAACGCACCTGGCAAGCGCAAGCGTACAGGTTCAGAATCGCCCGAGACTTCTAAGGTTTCTAAACCTCGGAGCTCGGACTCAGTTCTCAATCCACCCAAAGGCCCGCGACGCAAGATTGATGCTAATGTGCCTACCAACGCCGCCGTAAGTTTGGATTAGTACAACTTGATCAATCCATTGAGACCGCAACTAAGACATATCGCAGGGCTTGGTCAAACCTTCACGGGACGGGCCAGCATTCGCTCCTCCGGGAAATAACAAGTCCTCGGACGGTCCCTCATCTGGTCCAGGGTCAGCAAATGTACGTAACACCGGCAGTGCCATGAAGGGATGAAGGACTAACCAGTCTCTATAGCTCCCTCCTCGACCTCCGCAAAGACCCGGCAATGGAGTCAGACCACCACCTCCGATGCGCAAAAAGAAAGAGGTCGACCCATTCATTAGACCAAAGAGAAGGTAGTATGTGTATCATATGCTGCATAAACTTCCCCCCACACAACGCATTGACCGCATCCGTATACGCATTTGATTCACAAAAAATAGCATCCTTGAAGATTTGTTAGACAGGCATGCTTCCTTCCTTGACACCTGCTGTATGATACGCGGGATTGTCACCTTGCATGCATCCGAGCGGCTGCGCATTATTGGCATCTCTTTTTGCTTTGCATGATCACACAATTTCGTCCTTCATGGCACCTATTCATCTTTGAAACTTACATACATTGTGACCATACGGCGGCGATTTACGACTCGTGATGTCTCGATTCGAGACATCTCTATTTTTTGTGATGGTGCTGGGTTGCATTGAAACGGAGCATTGTTGGCATTTATCCTTTTCTCGTCCTCTTCCTTGCTGCTTCTGCACTGCATGTCCACTGTCAGGGGCAAATCTTGAAATATCTTCACGTTGTCTATATACCCGTGGATATAGGCGGTAGGGTGGAATTTTGATGACTTGACGATGATTATCGTTGCCCAGTAGATGATTCTTATATTGTAGCCTGCGGTACTCGATATCGTGATCTTATTAGGTGTTCAGCAGCTGTGATCAAGATTTGCAGACGACGTATAGTGCAGGCCCTGTCACTTTATTTGAGCCTTTAGCAAATAAAATAACATTACTACAATAAGTCTGCCAGTTGATAACCATGTATCAACAAACTAGTGACACAGAACACCGATTCTGGGTGACCGCATGCAGCCTGGATCAGGAAGGGCACAGTCTTACCTTGAACACAGTTGAGATATGCCAAATATATATTGCATAAGTAGTCGGAAGAGGAATTGTGATTGAGCTGACTCGTACATGACAGTAATGCAGAATGTAATGCATACTCAGTACATAAGCTTGGTGGTATGTATGTAGGTACAGGGTGATTGGGGACATGGCCCAGGGAGAAAGGTGATCATGATGTAGTCAATGAGTTCATTAACTCATTTGAGAAAATCTATGCTTCTACATCTACAGTACACTTTATCGGAATCGATAATAGAGTCGCTTCGATCGGAGATTTTCTGAGGCTTGTAGTCGAGGTCATGTAGCGACGGAGTAGTCTAGATGATGGATTATGGCTGGCTCATCTGGCGATTCCTGATGAGGTATAAATATGTCGTACTATCTATTGACAGAAAGTGTCTTTGATCTGCAAGGGGCAGACTAGTAAGCTGGTAAGTAGGTACATTATTGCTTTTCTTCCGTCGATGATGAAAGGATGCAAGATTCGAGGGATTCATTGGATTGTCGACGACACCATTTCCCGTGTTCATCTATCCAGGGTAGATTGAGTCTCAGACTGACATTTCGGGCAAGCGAACGAGGGGCCTGGTATCTCATATTTGAGAATGTTTTCTTTCTGGTTGAGTTTTGTGGGAAAATAGGTAGTTCTGGTAACACAGTCCTCATAGTTCATCAGTGAAGCCTGGCAGCATCGATGTTATTTGGGCCCGTCCTTATTCCAGGGGCGATCATAAAGGAGATATTATGGTGATCATCTGTGTAGGTTCTTTATTTCCTTATCTGCCATGTCAATATTCCTCAAAGTTTGTGTATTCGTCCTGAAGATCCCTCAAATTCCAGAATCCCTATGGATAGGTTGTGATCAGTCACTTGTGCTAAACTTCCCACCAGTGCCTCCATGTCAACATTTCATTATCTCTCTCTATCCCATCATAGACTATCTAAAGTATCTATCGCATCCATGATCCAGCCGCCATCTCAGTTACTGGCCCTATCACTGCTTTAATCATCGTTTTGACGGTGTTATTTACTGCAAGTCAGTCGAATGCTCATTTTTCCTCTACTTTGCCCCTTCATCCCGAATACAACGCATAGGGATGATACATCACATTCCGATGTCATGGATCGATAGACCTGCATTTGTAGGGATCGATGGTCCATCCCACTTGTCACCCTTCCAGGATCGAGAAGAGTTTGAATAGCAAAGTTATCTCTGTCGATGAATACTCCCTTGCATGCAACGGCTCCTAGAGGAAATCGATCAACCGCTTTCCTCTCTCATTGCTTTTTTCCTCCCCTCCAAAAGGAGAGCGCTTAGACTGCGAATGAAGGGCAAATGGGCCCAACAAAGGGGGAAGATTGCCGATTTGCTACTGTGCTTGTGTCCCTTGGAGTGCAGAGACTAGCAGAAGTACTTTTTCTTTGTCCTGCTGCGGCTGTTGATTAGCCACAGCTAACTCTCCATTGATCGATATGCCAGGATCATTGCCAGTCAAGGAAGAAAATAGGCTCGATCGGACGTGAGAAGATCCACACCTGTCATTCTCCTTGGTCGAGTAAAAAGTGCGAACTGCAACTATCATAACAGCAGTCACTCCCGAAGCAGATAGTCTGGCCAAAGAAAAGAGTCCGTCTTGATTACTGACGACGACCTGTCATTGAGGCGCCAAACAGAGATCGAATTCAATTGCTCATCGTCCTGGACCCAGCACGGACAGGGACGCTCGAAAGGGCAGATTCCCTGTCAGTGCTTCATCCTTCTTTGTGTTCTTTTTCCCTTTCTTGCTTGATTGCTTCACATCCTTTCTTCGTGCCCTTTCCCATTCGGTCCATCACCGCATTTTAAGGCTCCACTAGCAGACGACTATGTAGCTATCCTTGCTAGTTGTTGCTGCCATTTTCAAGGCCCTACCCCTCTCTTGGGCCTGAACATCCTGGCTTGTTGCCAATGTGGGTTACTTAGATTCAACTCTATCTCTCGAGCTATCAAGAACGAGCTATTGGGCAATGAACCGGCCCTGCATGCCGTCGGTCAGTCACACCCTGGGAAGGATCCCCAGCGAGGTAAGGGTATGACAGCTCGAATCTCAACAGGACCTCTTAAACGCGAGGTATCCTCTCGCAGATATCCCTCACCCTTGGATCAATCTTGCTTCTGTCCATTAATTCTCGTACCGCCTACTTTGCTGCAGACATTCTGGCACTGAATCTTTGCATACGTCATTTTGTCAATGCTACCTACCCATATCAGACCCAAGTGCAGCTCGCATCTTCGCTTTCATGCCTTCATCGGCCACTAAAACACAACAAGCAAGCATTGAAAATTGGGAGAGAAATTGCGAACGCGTCTAGGGCTAAGTCTCAACACCGCTTGGGTGAATATATCCTTGTACGACAGGTTCGCGAAGATTTTCACCGCTATTCATGTTGACCTCGTTATGCTTTCCGCAGTCGACTTTTGAACCGAACGGGACCATTGAGATCCGACAAGCTTCCCTATGCATCAGTGGACCGAACCGCATGAGGGCACAGTCGCGCCTAGTCCAGTCGTCCCAACGTGTCGGCACAGCTCGTCCTTATCAAGGGACAAATCCCACAACATGTCAACTCTTCCATCCCAAACACAATACTTGACTGCTGCTGAAAACGATCGACCGCAAAAAGGTCCAGAGGTTCAGATGACGAACGAGGATATCACTGAGCTTGATCGCTTCCTTCAATCACCTTCGACAACTCCCGCTTCGCAAGTTACGGGAGCGCGCGAACTCCTAAAGGCCGGCCACCGGCGTCTTCGGCAGCTGGCGCAGCTCCAGTGGAAACCAATGGACCCCAAGACCAAAGCTGAGGAGACGTCCCGTCATCTCCTTGTCCTCCAGCAAGAGGGGTTTCTCAGTTTGCCAGCTTCAGCTGCAAAGAAAAGCCTTGACTCGGCGATGTCGGGCTCGAGATCCGCGTCAAACTTTAGCTTCCGATCGAGCTCTCAGCGAGACGTTGAAAAGATTGGCCAGCCGTGGCTTGAAAATCCGCTCGAAGTGTCCGATACGCAACACCTCAGAGGCCCCGAGCCGTCGCCACTAGATTTCGGTAATTTGACGTCCATAGTTGAGGCGGCAGTGTCTTTCCCACTTCACTTTGATGACACTCACCCACCGCCATACCAGCCGCCGGCGAACACCACCAGCGACGGGCAGATCGAAAGCCAGGATTCTCGTCACCTCCACGGTGCAGCATCTCAACTTAAACCCAAGGAACGGCGTATGGAAGATCAAGGTGGTCCATCGCCAGTGGACAATAGACAAGTTCCCACGAACGACAAAGGTCATATTTCTCCCACCCTGATTCCAGGAAATGGTATAGCGTGCGATGAACCAAAAGATGGCAAATCTCAGGTAAGTGCATTGAGCGGATTTATATGCATATAGAAGCTCTGGTGGCAGATACTAACAAATGCATTGGTAGGCTCTGGATTCTGTTGAAAATCAGAACAACTCTGCACAATTACCGAAACCCCCAACGTCAGGAGCAAAAGTTGTTTCTAGACGTCCGCCAAATCCGGTCACTCAGTCGTTGAAGCTCTTCCCTGACACGATGCCTCCTCGTGTTTCAAGCAAGGGAGCTTGGCGCATCCCCAACAATCGAATAGCAGGCAAAGATGCACCAGTTTCTGCCAATTCCTCCGACAGGCAGCAGATTCCCGCACCTGTCACCTTGAAAAGAAAGACAGACAACCTCAAAAATTCGGCCAAAGGCCCTTCGGAATGTCAGGGCCAGCCTCAGAAATCATACCACTCAGGCAAGGTGTCGACAACGCGACCGGGGAAACCCTGTAGCGAACCGGGGATGAGTCCAATACATTCAGAATCTCCACAGTTGAACAATACACGTCGTCCTGCATCGTTACCAACAGGCACCATAGACTCATTCCCTCTGCCAGCGCCCTTGAGACCTCTGCCATCACTGCCCGAGCGGCCTCCTGCTCTCAACACCGTTCGCCACCATAGCACCCCGGTCAGCAAAGCAGCAACTCGGAAGAATCGCAACCACTCGGACGCCTTTCCAACCACCACTTCTAAGAACCGCTTAGACACCGAAGACTGTCGCTCGAATACACAATCTGCACTCCCTCAGTTGAGAATGGTTGGGGAAGACACGCCCGCTAGCGAGCAGGGTAACACTGTCAAGGAGACACCGCACAATCAGCCAGAGTCTTCTGGGAAAATGGGACACAATCGGGCGGAGAGGGTGCGTTCACTCATGTCCAGAGACTTGATGGCAAGTCGTATCAGCCTCGATGCGCCAGAAACTCCTCGTGAGGCGAGAAAGGGCGATGGGATCAATCCACCAGCATCTCGAAAGAGCTCCGGGCCCGGTCATAAATTGCGAACTGGCGACGAAAACGGAGCTCGAGAAAACACATCAATCCGAAAGGAAGCAACTCCGTCCGCTCCTTTGTCGCCTCCTCTTTCCCCACCTCCCGCTCCACCACTTGTGCAGTCTGCGGAACAGCTGCCGTTCAGCAGGCGGTATGGCAGCTCGCCCACAGATATCATGGCAGCATCGACAGAGAGGAGAGGGCTATCTCTTCCCGCTTCAAACAGGAGCCCTACGTTGCACCGAAGTAACAGGACGCGGAGCATCGATGTCCTTCACGAATTGGTGGGTAGAGAACAGAACACTTCGAACCGAGCCGGGTCTCCGCTCCCTTCTTCGGATGATGAGTGCATGGATAAAGGTACATCCAAGTATGAGCTACGCCAAGGATCCAGCGGATGTCGACGAACGAAGGTAGCCTCAAGGAAGTCGAGCGACATTTGTCTGAACAGACAGCGTGGCCCGAAGAAGTCTGGAATCCCAGATCATGCGGGGCCCTTGACGCCGCGAAGGCAAAGAAGCCGTATTCGGGAGAAGACGTCTTCACCATCGCTGGACTCATCGAGTCCGTACCATTCTCATCACGACCGTCGGAATAAGCGTGACAAAGCTGCCCACGCTCTCAATTCTCTTGAAGGACGCATTGAACAGCTGGAGCGCCAGAACCGGATCCTTCAGGCGGCCCTTTTTGCGGCTTTAGATGTCGGTGTCAAGCGCAATACGGAAGCCCTGCTTGGGGGTTCAACGACATCGCTTTCCGCCTCCGCGAATTCTTCAAGTGCGGAAAGGTCTTCTCCGTCCTCGACGGATCGCTCTCCCAAACTGCGTGGTCGCGCAGTAGTAAATGGAAGACGATCACGCATGAAAAAAACCCTTCGTCGCCCGGAAAGCTGGATTGACAGCCCCGGCTCCAGTCTGCGAAGCGGTTATCAAAGTGATGACAGTGTCAGTGTCAGAGAGCTTGAGGACATGATCGAAGACCTTGAATTCACTTGTTTATCGGACAAGCCCAGGTTCCGATAGGCTGTCGAATGGTCGCCTTTAAGCGTTTTATCTAGTTTTCGTTTTCTTGTCTGCCTAGGGAGGTTTCCTTTTAGTCACACAGTCGCTTGCACCTCTTTCCTTTGTTACTTGGTGGTTCAGCTGGTTGCATTGCCTCAACTGACTTGATATGCAGTCCGAAAATTGCGTTCTTTCCAGACTCCCCTAGACTGCCCTTTGAATACTTGCCTTGCCACTTTATTTCTCCTTGTTTGTTGTTATTGCACCGCAGTGATACCATTTTGTTTTGTCTTGACACGTTCCATAAGTCAGTTTGCTTTCAATTCCTGTTAGAGTCCCAAAATTGAACATGGCTTGGATATTTTCTTGAGCAGTTCGCAATCGTAATATTAATTAATCTATCGTAATGATAGCTAGATGGACCCCTTTGGGCAATGTATAAATGTTAGATTGTTCTAACTTCTGCTCGATCCTGCTTAGTCATCCGAGTCCTATTTCGATGCCGATGTTGTTGACTATCTAGATTGCGAGTTGAGTAGCTTCAAGTCTCAACAACAAACACGAATTGGCAGTCCTTCACCAGTTCGCGACCTCTGAGCTGGCAGATTGTTATCAAGGTCAGGTGAAAGCAAGAAACCGCACGGATCCAACGCAACCACCATCACATTTCCTTTTCCCCCTCGCCCAAACAAACCCGATTCATTCCTCTCCACTCATCATTTATTCGAAAATGGCATACGCAACATCAGTAGGATACTCCCTGTCCCTGATCAAGCCACACATTCAACGTTCTAATACTGATTAACGAATACCTAGACCATACAGATCCCACAACATGTCACAGCTCTCCTTTCACATCTTACATCACGCCCTGGCGTACAATCCACCTTCATCCTTTCCCGCAAAGACGGATCCATAATCCAAAGCACCGGACTCTTCGCCTCAGCATCGCCGAGAAATAGCACGACGAGCGCGACACAGACACCGCCAGCAACGGACGACGCAAACAGTACTGCCGCCCCTCCTGCGGAGTCATTGGATCCTTCTTCGCCCGCCGGCGCAAGCACAGTACCAACCCCTACCGCCCAGAAACCATACCAGCCGTCTCAGGCGGAAGCTCTAGCGGCGCGGATCTTTGCTTTCGTCTCGAGTGCGTCGGAGCTGGGAATGACGCTGTCATGTCCGCGCGCGGAGGATAGGGATAGCTATCAGGCTGGACTGAACGGGTCGGCTGGGGTGGGAGATGGGGCGGCGAGAGACGATGCGAGGATGGAGGGTGTGGACAGGGAGGAGGACGATGAGGTTAAGCTGCTCCGGCTGAGGACTAAGAAGCATGAGATCGTGGTCGTGCCGGATAGGAAGTATCTCCTGTGTGTGGTGCATGATGCTGCGCATGCGTTGGGGGGTCCGGGGGCTGCGGGGGTGCGCTCTAGGTGATGGTTTGCTTATATGGCGTTGATGGCTTTGATCTTTTGGTCTTGTCTTGCAGGGTCTATTTTAATTTCATTGCCGGTGTTTCTTGCTGTTCGTTGGTTCGCTGCGACTGGTTCCTGGGCTCTTGTGTTGTTGCATAACTATACCCCCGTTGGAAGCAATGCATTTTACTTGCATATTTGGATCTTTTTTCGAGGGCTGAGAACGTTGCACTGAGGGGACTAGGAGCTACGGAAGTATCGCGCTATGAATTGATTATGCTTTGGTGCTTTGGTGCCATCGGTTATGCAGCGGGGTGTTACCCCTCTCGCAGAAGCTATTGACGCGGTTTCATCACCTTATCAATGGCGACTAGATCTGATTCTGCCTTATTCCAGGTTTCATCTATCGTCGGCAGAGATGGCTTCAGAATTTGATATTGCACGGGTTAGGACTCGTTTTCCTGCTTTGAATGCAGAGCAGGTGTTCCTCGATAATGCAGGTGTGTTCTGACTCGATCTTGTCTTGTGGGCACTGCATCGCGAGCGAGTCGCTGACCAAACTGCCGTTGACAGGAGGCAGTCAGGTTTTGGACACTGTGATCGAATCGTGAGTCATCTGGAATTTCGCTTGAACCCGGTCTGATGCCCAGGGAAGGATTACATCTTACCTCTCTACCACCAATGTTCAATTGGGAGCGACGTATGGCATATCTCGGGCAGCCACCGCTACATTTACTAAGGGCTACGAGGCGGCGGCGGAGTTTATCAACGCGAGTCCTGATGAGGTGTGTCTTTGACCCTGGTAGCACCGGTTTGCTCTGACCTCATCGCTTCAGATCTGCCTGGGTATATCAACGACTCAGCTCTTGCACAACCTTTCGACCGCGCTCAAATTCCAACCCGGAGATGAGCTGGTGCTCTCGAAGCTGAACCACGAAGCCAATACAGCCGCCTGGGTTCGGATCGCGGGACGACTGGGCTTGCAGGTGAAGTGGTGGTCGGCATCGGATCCTAGAAACCCTGTTTGTGATTTGGATGAGCTGGGCCAATTGCTCTCGGAGAAGACGAGGCTCGTTGCTTGCCCACATGCTTCGAACATCACGGGAACAATCACGAAGGTCAAGGAGATTGCGAAGCTCGTTCATCAGTATCCACGAGTAGGTTTTGATGGTCGCTTTTTTCTGTCATGTGCTGATATGCTTAGGCTCTCCTATGCGTTGATGGGGTTGCACTTGCACCCCATCGTCAGGTAGATGTGAAGGAGCTCGATGTCGATATTTATGTAAGTTGGTGAAGATGGCTCCAGCGGAAGAATGCTCAGATTTCTCCACCAGGCGTTCTCATGGTACAAGGTCTACGGGCCGCACATTGCTCAATTATACGTCTCGTCTCGGATTCATGATCAGATCGACAGCCTTGGCCATTTCTTCAAAGGCACAGACACGCTGGACCTGAAGCTCAATCTAGCATCCGCCAGCTACGAAGCGACACAGAGTATTCCTGCGGTGCTTGAATACCTTGGACCCAATCCCTCAGCTACATGGGACAAGATCGCCTCTCATGAAGAGAAACTACAGGCGATACTGCTGGAGTACCTCAGAAGCGAGGATCAGATTACGATCTGTGGGGAACCATCAGCAAGCAAGGAGCTTCGCGTCCCGGTAATCAGTTTCACAGTGCAAGGCATCAAGAGCCAAAAGGTCATTGAAGAAGTCGAGCGGCGGACGCGGTTTTGTTTCCGCCATGGACATATGTACAGTCACCGACTGTTGAACGATATCGTAGGTTTGGAGGACGTCGAAGATGGCGTGGTACGGATCAGCATGCTGCATTACAATACTGGTGAGTTTGCACTTGAAAATATGTGGGGGCTTGCTGACCAGGTCATCAGAGGAAGAAATCACCCTCCTGGCCGAGAGCTTGAAAGAAATCATTAGCTCTCTGGTATGCTCTAAATCATAATCAAGTAATCATCTCTCATACAGCATATGAACGTTTATGGTGCTCGCATGCTTCATAGTGGATGTTAGAAATATGACTACCCGTGTGCCCTGTATGTCCTCGTAAGTGGACGGTGATCAAACAACAGATCCCGATTCCTTGCTCAACTATATTTTGTGGCCTGTAGCATTTGGGTTGAAAAAGAGGTGTCAAGCTGCATGACAGTTGGGTCCAATGAAGCTTGTGTATCCAAAGTACCGACCTTTCATTCTAGGTTCTCATCCGGAGTAGCAATCAACAAGTACATACACGTGCATGCATCTCTATGCATGATTCCTAATCGGTGCGGTACTTCCTGTACCTCCTTTCCCTCGACCAAATCTAGACGATCTGATCAAGCGAAATTCGGCCGTGAGGTTAGGTTTCCTGTCAACTACTCGATAGATACAGGTTGTTTGAGTTCTCGCTCGAGACTCTGTTTGTTGTTAGGGTACAAAGATAGCTGGCGTGGTGGACTTGATTCCGAATATATGTTCATTCGTATTGAGGACTCTTGTGTGGACCGTGTGAATGCTGAGGGATTTATTAAGCTTTCTCCCTTTGAGGTTTATCCATCTGTTTATGATACATCTACAGCATAGCTTGAGCTATCTTTTACTCGAATCCAGTAATTTGCACTGGACAAAGTACCCCAGAGTCCTTATTGTTCCCTACAGGCCAGTGACGTGAATCTCTCGATCTCTCGCCATCTAGCTAGCTACACTGGAGACCAACTCAGAAACCCAGTGTAACCGCTCATGGCAGGTACGTCCGTCCCCACAACCAATCGAGGCAAGGTGAATTCGTCGCCAGAAAATACTCCGTGTGGTATTTGATGCTGCCTCAGGCTTCCAGCCCCCTCCCCACGGTACTGTTTTCGGAAGGGGCGCTAATCCGTACTAGGAATAGGGTGTGGACTTGGTGGCGAAGACGACGATGACGGTATGAGTCATGACGCAGCGGACTGAGGCACAGCGCTTGACCTCTGACTATTTTGAGCTTTGCTAGAGGTGGGCTGATGCTACTATTATTGTTGAATCTCTATCACTATTATGCTCAGCCTTGCGCAGCATGACATATTTGGTAAGTATTGATATGGATCTAAGACTGGAGGATCGCGCGGAGGAATAGCCTGATGGGTACAGTATCTACTCTGTTTTTGGATCTGCATGATCGGGTGCTGAATCTTTAGCCCACATTTCCGTTATTCATAAATTTTAATGTGTTGTGTCAGTTGTTGTGGGACAACAGCCTCTTGCACTACTCATGTACCCCCCCTGTGACTTATCCACTCTTTATTGCTCACCTTGCAATAGTCGAGTAATCGAACATAGAATGAATGAAAACAATAGGCAGAGATGAGCTGCCTATTTTGAAACAGACAATATTGTGGTTGTCAGCTCAGGTGATCCTTAAGCGCGACAAGGTGATAATATTTGTTACTCATGATGGTGGAGAGGAGGATTCTTGTGCACCAGTGGTGGTTTTCTGCTGCCTAGAGTATCTTATCCATGATGGTTCCACAAGTACAGTTGTCATATTATCTCCCTGCTGCATATTACTATGTTGTCTATCAAATCCAACAAGCAGTCAATATTGCATCTGGACGAGTAGGGAGGTAGAAGT